CACACACACACACACACACACACACACACACACACACACACAGCCTTGTCGGCTGTCACTTGATCCCTTAATCGGAGTGGCATGGGCTGATCCCCCCATCAAGTGACCGCGGGGGACTGTCATCGCTATCCGGGTCATCGTCACTAATGACAAGCTTCTTGCCAGCATTAGTGTTGCGGCGTCCGTGCCGCAACGCAGTCTTGTTGACTGCCTTTTTTTTTTGGGCCTTCCACGGCCGCGTCGGGGCGCTTCGGGGGACTCCGCTGTTGCCTTCCTCTTCCTGCCTGCCCTGCTCTTCCAGAGGTTGTCATGGTGGAGAGCATCATTCAATTCAGGGAAAGGGGCCGTGTCGATGTCCTCTGCGGCCTGCTGCTCTTCCTGCTGCTCCTTCCCCCTCTCGCTAATTGCAACCTGCTGGTCGGTGGTCTTTCCCTCCACTCCGACTTGTTGCTCCACACATGGGCGGAGCCTGCGCGTGTACACGGCAACTGGTGCTTGCTGTTCTTCCGCTGCGTATGCAGGTTCCCCTTGCTGCTGCTCGCCCTTCTCCACGGCAGGCTGGACATCCCCGTCCATTTCCTTCAAGGCCTCACCCCCGCACTTTTCCTGTTGTGCAGCATTCCTCTCCCTCTCCCTGCGTGTAGGGATCACTGCACGACGGGCCTCCTCCTCAGCGACCCGCCTCTCCACAAGTTCACGATCCCTGTCCGCCATCTCCTTTGCACGGGTGGCCTCTTCCTCGTCCGGGTCATCGTGGCGGTGCAGCAAAAACTCTATGTCCGTGTCCACTCTCTCGACGACCTGCGTAGGCTCAAGCTCGAGCTCCCTGTCCTGTGGCCTAGTTCACCTGCCGCCATACGTGGTCACCGGGACTGCAGACACCACACCGAGCTCGAAATCGGAGTCATCCTCGCTGCAGTCCTCTGATGATGACTCATTCCAGCACTTCCCCTTCCACACCATATCCTCGAGGTCGCTGTTGTCGGTAGTGTCGGAATCGAGAAGGTTTTGGGGGATCCTGTTTTTTGGAGCCTTCCCATGTTCCTTTGCCTCATCTCCTCATCCTCTTTCTCAGCAGCATCCTGGGAATCGGTCGCCAGCATCAACCCGTCATTTTGTTGTGGCTCCATGATTGGTTCGAAGAACGATCCCCAGACATCAACGAACCCGCTGTCCTTGTGGTGTCGAGCTCGTAGCAACTGCATGTTCCAGTGTATGTATACGAGCTTCTCGAGGGATGCTGGGGACAAACTGTTTCATCTCTTCGTATGGACGAAGTCCATGGAGGCCCAATTGCGCTCAGCAGGGGTCGCAGTGCTCCACATCCCCATGACCTTGATTGCAATTGCCTGAAGTGTTGGGAGCTTTCCTGGGCTCCGTGCACACTTGCTCCGTCACAACCCTCGCGGGCTCTTTTTGGAACTCCATCAACTCCGCCCACAAGTCGGAATGTGCCTTGCTGTTCCACTCACCCCCGATCTGCCTCAAGAAGTAGCGCATTGCATTTTGCATCACTGCACTGTTCTGATCGAAGAGCCAGCGTTCATTCCTCCGCCGTGGATCAAGAATGAATGCAGTTGCATGAACCGGCTGCCTCATCATTTGCACGCGGTCACGCACCTTTTCCATGACATCCTCCCCCTCCTTCTGCGTCAGCACCACGTTTGTCAATTTCCGCCGAATCATTTCATCGTACTCAACAAGATTGGTGGGAGACGTGCCTTCTGCGTCCATTCTCTTCAGCAACTGG